ATAATGTATGAAATATAAAGATAACATATTCATTAAATACATTTTGAACTTTGTACTGTACTTTAATAAAATAAAACATAAGAAAAATTAAACAACTAAAAATGTGAAATAAAAGTAAGTATAAAATTAGTTATTATCGGAATCACTAAATTGTGCAACATTTTCTTTATCATATAAAAATTTCCTCAATAATTTACATTTTTCTCTTTCAATTGCAATAATTTCCTCATGCCGCTGTTCTTTGCATTTTAATTTTTTGCAGTTATTATTTTTCTATCATCTAATTCTTTTTCATGCATTTGAAGTTGTCGTTTTTGTAGATTTATCGCTTCCGTTTTTTTTTCTAATAATTTAGACAACTTAGCGTCACGTTCTTCACGACGTTTCTCTTCGCCCTGAAGATATTCCAGCCAATGCTTTCCTAATTCATTTTTTATTTTTGCATTATTGGATCCACTTCCATGTAACGGACGCGCTTTCTTTTCAATTAGATTTTTCTTTTTTGTCGAATTTATATGTGTGCATGAATTATTTGTTGAAAGACTAGATGAACAGGTACTGCTATGTGAGCTTACAGCTTCAAGTTCAGTTTCTTTTGAACTATTCGAACATTGAACTTTCGGAGATGTATTAATTATATATTTTGTTGGAAGGTTAGATGAGCGAGTATGAAATATATTTGCTTCCTTATCCTTGCCAAGAATCTCTTGCATTTGGTCGAAATATTCGAATGACATAGGACTGCGCCCCGATTTTCGATTATTATCTATGCATTCTTTATATTTTTTAGTTAATGCATTTATCTTCCAACGAATTTGATCAGTCGACATCTATCGAAAATAACTATATTATATAATAATGTATTATGTATTGTTTTTATTATTAATTACAGACTACATTTACACGAGCCGATTTACACTGAAGTTATAACGTCGATGTTGTAAAACTAGCCAATCACAGCTATTCGTCTTAAGAATATATGGACTTCTGCGTAAATCGGGTCGTATAAACGTAGTCACAGATGAAATATAAATCACACACGTATTACCTCAATACCAAAATCTTTTAAGCCATCTGCTATGCTGGCCCATATTTTGGTTTTTTTCTTTGGATTGTCCAACATGTGGAGATTTGCTTCGTACAAGCTAAGAACAGCCAATATTGAATGTTTGTTCCAAACTGCATCTGTACGATAAATATATATATATATTATATGAAAATAAATATAAAAAATAATTCATTTATGTACTAGAAATAAAAATATAGTTACATACTTGATTTTTTTATATTATTTTGTCCTGTTGCTGACATCTCGTTGATATTTGCAATATCATTGTACCACTCAGTGTCATCAGCACTTACTACTTTAAAGAGCATTTGATTCCCATTCATAAATACTTCTTCTCCAATAAAACACTTGTGCTTTGGAACCATGTCCAACGAATTAATGTTTTCTGAACAATGTTTGCAAGTAAGCCACTCTGTAATGAGATCAATAACAAAAATGCATTTATTTTACGTTTTTAAATATATCAAAAATATTATACGCTTCAAAGCAACTAGATATGATATTCTATAAATATAATATTCTAAATATATTTGTTAATACCAATTGTTCTTTCCATGTTGCTGGAATCTACTGCTAGTGAATGGTAGTTGGCGTGACTGGTACTCGGAAGTTCTTCGGATGGAATTTTTACTCTCGTACAGGAATTTATCAAAATAAATAAGTAAGGATTAATTAACGTAAAGAGAAAATTAAGATATCAATACGCACTAATCTACATCGTCTATTGATTTCCATAGAAATGTAATATTTTGGCACTTTGTTTTTTGTAAAATAAAATTGAATGCCTCGTTGTCAAAATCTGTGAACAATCAGATAATTAAATCATAGAAAATGTTGCAACTTAAATTTTGTACAGCAGTTATACTTATACATACTCTTTAAACGCACATACGTGCTAATTTTTAAGTCAGTGATTTTAATAGGATTATCGTCATTTATCTTAAACCACATGTTGAATCTTCTTTGATCTTCATCTCCTGTAACAGAGGATATCATTGACAAATAATGAAATAATTTATTAATAAATCAGCTTTTAACTGATATTGATAATAAATTTTACTTCTTTCATCCATCGCTGTTAAATGAACAAATAATGCCAAATAAAGTAGTGATATTTAACACAACAAATTTAAAAAAATAAAAATTGGCAGATTTCACGAATTTTGTAAATATGTATGTGACAATGACATATTTTGTTGGTTTTATTACTATAGAGGTTATATCGCAAAGTGTATAAACATGATGCCACTACAAAAACATGGTTTTTTGTTTCATGGTTGGTACTCCTAGCGACACAACACTGCAAAACTCATCTTTTCGCCGTGTCGCGTAGTGTCATATCGTGTCGTTGTTGGAACGCTCGAAAGTGGACACTGTGTAACACAGTGCCGTCTGTGTACGTTGATGGAAAGCACCGTATATTTCAGTGATTCATACTACATAGTCCAACAATCCCTAGAAAACAAATTTTCTTATTGGTACGTAGAACGACAGATTCAAGTCAAAGCATCTTCAACAGATGTTGCTTATCTTGTCTGGTTCGATGGTTTAATGGCATGCAAATGGCATGGCATTCTGTGAAAAAAACCGGTTGATTTGTTGATGTTTTGTATGCAGGCATTGATATTGCACCAGGCAAAATGATTAAAATATCGGCACTCAACGAAGAGTCGAGCGAGGAAAGCGAGGAGGAGGATGTGCCTACGATCACAAAGGAAGCGCAGGTAATCGTCAGAAGTATTTATCTTTCTATCTTCGCGTAACCTATAAATATCTTCAAAAATTCGCGTAAATACATAAATTATCAATATATATATTCAGTTCTAGATCATATAAAAATGTGGTAATTATGCAGAATACCCACGTCACCTCCGATTTTGACCCAACTGGTCTCATTCGATGTCGTTTTTTTTTTTAAAAAACTTTTCCTTTCACTAAAATGTCGCTCTGTCCCAGGAGACGAGATATTAAGCGTCAAAGTTGACGACTTTTCAGGTTAGAAAACTTGTCACTTTGACGAATTATAGCGATGTGAGCATACGCTGCGGTCAGGCGCGCATGCGATGTAACAGAATTGTGCGCGAAGTATAAAATATATTTCCGATAATCATTAATTGCAAGTCGCAAACCCATATAAAATAGTATAATTATGGATCTTGCTTTGCGTAGACACAGGGTATTCCGCCCCCCCGCAGGGGCTATGCTAAAGCTATACTAGCTATGCTAAAGCTAGTTTGGATTGCACAAAAATATATAATGCTAAAGCTAGTTTGATACATTAAGCAATCTATGTCGCTCTGGAATACGCACGAAAGTTTTATTATTTTTATTTTACACAGGGTATTCCGCCCCCCCGCAGGGGGGGCGGAATACCCTGTGTCTACGCAAAGCAAGGTTCATATAATTAAAAAAAAATAAATAAATAAATATTAATAAATTGTAACGTAATATATTTTTAAACATAAAATAATACAGATTTGCCAAAAAAATTTAAAACAAATAACAATAATTGTGAGAAATATAGAAATGAACTATATATCAATAAGAAAACATTGTTGTTCCGATGCCGCAAAAGATATTTTTCACCGAATGCAAAAAAGAAACGAATAAGTAAACAGTGCAATTATAATAAAAGTTCTAAAGTAGGATCTTGGTTTAGTAACAGCAGCTTAGAAATAGATAAAATCTGCAAAATTGTAACATATTTTCTAATTTGTTTCTTCCTTCCTGGATAATGGAGGATACAGCTCAGCAATTAAGTCGAAGAAGTTTTCTATTCGCTCACTGAAAGCATGAGTGCGTTTGTATAGAAATTCGCACAAATATCCCTCAAGATGAGACTCTCGCGTTCC